GGGCTGCCGTCGGGGCCGCGGCGGACCGGGCGTCCGGGGCGCTGGAGCGCGGGGCCGGGGAGGGCGGGGGGGTGCGGGCCGCGGCGCCGGGGAGCCGAGCCGGGCCGGGCCGCTTACCTGTTGCTGGCGGAGGCGTCGCGCCGCGGGAGCTGCGTGCCGCTCCCTCGGGGACTCGCCGCGCGCTCGTCCGGGCTGCCTCCCGAGGCGCCGGCGGCGGGGAGCCCGCGGCGGGGCGGCGGGGCGCGGGGCGCGGCGGGAGCGGGGGCGCCCGAGCCCGCACGTCGTCCAGCCGGCGCGCAGCGCTGCGAAGCTCTGAGCGGCGGCGGGGGCGCGCGGCGTCTTAAGGCGGCGCGGGGCCCTCACCTTGCGGCGCCCCCCTCCCCTCGGCCCCCGCCCGCGCCGGTGACGCACGAGGCCTCGGGCGCCGGGAGGAGCGGGGGCCCGCGGCAGGGGGAGGGGGGAGGGAGAGGGAGAGGGGCGCGCGCGCGCGCGCGGCCGCGTACCCCGCTCGGCCACTTCTCGCCCCGCGTCCCCACCCGGGCGGCCCCGAACTCGCCGAGGCCTCACAGACTGGGGCTTGTCGCCGGGACGGATTTTCGGGCAGACCTGTGCCTCCCTTGCCCCCGGATTGCGGGCCGGGCCCCGGCCACAGACCTGCACACTTCTTCCAAAGAGGCGCAGAAACCCGGTCCCGGGGCCTCGGGCCTCGACCTTTGAAGACCCCCCCGCACCCCCCGCTCCGCGCCTTTCCCCTCCCCCTCCCAAAGTAAGAATTGCCCCCGGGCCCGAGAGAGGAAGGGTGACTTTGATGTCACCAATTTTGCACAGTTTTCTCTGGCTCCCGGCAAGAGCTGAGCGGTAGTTCCTTTCGTGTGGGTTTGGGGAGCTTTTCGTGTGAGAGAAGCCTCTTAATGATCCACGGTATTGTTTGATGGAAGTCTGTCTGTAAGTCAGCCACCCCCGCCCCCACCCTCCATGCCAGGTAGCGTGGCACTGGGGTAAGCTGTTCACGCAGAGAATGCCGCCGAATCCGCACCTCAGCCTTGTGAGAGTGGCACTGCTATTACCTTCGTTTTATAGAGACAGGAGCCGAAGCCAAGAGAGATTCCCCTACTTGCCCAAGTTCAAGTCAATGTGGCACCTGCTTTATTAACCAAGACTTTCCGGTCTCCCCCAAACACATACGGGGTGTTTGCTCTGTGCCACGCCTGGGCAGATACCAGGGCATAAGGCATCCCCCCCCCCCCCCCC